GCTCTTTCCACTGGGAGCCCTTTTGATGTCAGGTGCTGTTGCTTTTTCCAAATGGATCAGAAGTGCAAAGGCACAGCTTGCTTAGCACAGCTCAACAAAGATGTTGGTAGGCTTCAATCAAAGAGCTTGCCAATCCTAACACAGGGATGCATGAACTCTGTTATTAGACAGTTCTTTTTGGCCTTTGAAATCCTGTATCAACAAGAGGGTATGGTGCTGGTTGGTGTAGAAACAACAAAATGAAGACAAAGAATTCAACAGCCAAAAGTTGTGGGTACATGATTTATTGCACCATTAAAATTAGAACAATCCACCAGTGCTCCAGCACTGCAATAATATGTTTCCTACATGCAATTAGCAAATTAGCATACTAGATTTTCAGTGTAAGCCAGTGGCCAGGATATGGCCACATTTAATTCATGGTTATGGATTTATTTGCTCAGTGAATTGTGCCTGCCAATTAATGACTAGGCCACCTGATTCCAAAAAATAGGCTTTAAAAGTGGGTTTTGACCAGGGACTTCTTCAATGATGGTGTCCCATTTATGGAACTTTCTCCTCCAAGGAAGCATATCAGGCATTCATCCTGTTCTCATTTAGATACCAGACTAAAACCTGGGTATTTACTCATACTTTTAAACTACTTCTGAAATACTGGTAAGACACTGGTAGTTGTCCTGGGTGATTTCACTCGGGGGCATTTGGAGCACCTTTCATGTTGCTTGTGTTTTGTTTTGCTATGGTCAATTGCCCTAGGATATGTGTCCCAAAGGACACCACACAAATGTTCTCAATAAATAAATAGTTCCAAACCAACCCAGCCCACAGCCCAATATCTTGCCTCAAGAATAAAAGCATCATGCATGCTTCTGAAATGCAGGCTCAGAGTGTGGCTCAGGTCCCAATTAGGTATGTGGGGGGGGGGAGTTCCAACTCTCTAGAACTCACCCCTTCCCTCAATTGCAGACTCTGGGCTCATGTGAAGCCTTTCTTGTTTAGGCAAGATTTTGAGCTATAGTACAGAGTTGTTTTTATACCATTTGTTTGGAGATGGAGAAAGTGCAAGGAACATCCCAGCGACCTAACATTTCTGAATTAATGGTATGCAGAGTCAAGCAACCTCAACTGACTTTAATGATTTGGGAGGTCCCTGGGGGAGGTTGTCAGTATGGAGGGTAGATTGCAGAACAGAAAAATGACACAATTGGAGACATGACATAGTCTGGGAGGAGCCTAGCAACACAATTATGCCTGAAGATTTGTGAAGAAGGAAGGGCAGGAGGACCACCACAACCACAAGGCCAGGGGATAAGAAGAGTTCAAAATAGGTGGGAACTGGTAGGTAGATTTCTAGGGAGCTGTGGGATCAAGAAGGGCTAGAACGGGTCAGCAGGATCAATGGTCAGGGATAATGGGAGCTACAGTATAACATCTGGAAGGCATCACATTGGCTGCCACTGGGCTAGAATCTATAAGAACAGATGAGGTGTAGGCTGTTGATTAGCCTTTTGGAACTCCAGTGCCAACTCTTTGGGCACATGGAAGCACTGGAGTAAGGACAAATCAGCCCCCAGGTCCAGGGCTGTCATGGAGTGAAGGTACCACTCCATCCCACCAACTCTGAGGTTATCAGCAAGCATTTCTTCAGCACATCTGGCAGCATGGAAGCAATTTGGTAATTTCATTGACAGTATCCCACAACAACCACCAAAACACTGAGAAATGTAGAATTCTTTTTATTATTTTTAAAAACCCGTTCAATGCTTCAAATGTAGTGGCTGGGATTAGTTGAGACATCAAGAAACACGGAATATGTCTTGCTGGCAGTTATACATGGGTTGTGTGCTTAATTTCGATGCACCTGACACCATGCACCTTTCACTACATCAAAGGACGCTGTCAGGATACTTGTGGCTTCAGAGGGATATTGATCCTGATTTCTGCAGTGGCGGATAATTACTGCATTGCTTTCCCAACTTCTTAAACATCCTTTCAAACTATTCCTTTCCTGGCATTGAGACCTTGATCAGACATTGAGTTTTGAAGCTGCCAGCTGTTCAGAACAATGAGAAGAAAACATCTGAAAAGAACAGTGGTTGGCACTTGAAGGAAAGGTTGTTCGCCGCATGGGACGTCTGGCAGGTCCAATAAAATAAGCATTTCCACTGTGCCATGTCAGTGTTGCCTCTAAAGCTACGGTGTGCATTTTCTAAGCGGTTCAAGGAAATATGCTCATGTTCCATGAATAAAAAATGGAAGGGAGAGAAACTGTCCTGCAATGCTGAGGAATTGTGCATTCCCCCCAAATTTCCAGGCATCTTTCCCAAAACTCTTTTGTTAATATGCAGATGTCTCTGTGTGTGCTGTGTGCTGTCAAAAGTCACTGCTGCAGATGCCAATTCAAAGAAGAATTGAAAAGAGTGGAATGGGAGTCTTGTACAATTCAGTATTCAACTTCAGAGAGAAAAAGGTGTTGCAAGTACTAACCAGCAGGAATCAAGGAGAGATTTGGTTTGGTTTTCATGTTAAAATGAACCTATTTAATTCATAAATGTGGGTGGCGCTGTGGTCTAAACCACTGAGCCTCTTGGGCTTGCCAATCAGAAGGTCGGCAGTTCAAATCCCTACGAAGGAGTGAGCTCCCGCTGTTCTGTCCCAGTTCCTACCAACCTAGAAGTTCAAAAGCACGCCAGTGCAAGTAGATAAATAGGTACCACTGTGGTTTCTGTCACGGTGTTCCGTTGCACCAGAAGTAGTTTAGTCATGCTGGCCACATGACCCAGAAAGCTGTTTGTGGACAAACGCTGGCTCCCTCAGCCTGAAAACGAGATGAGCGCCGCAACCCCATAGTCACCATTTAATTCACACCTCCTGAAACAATATGCAAACACAGCTGTCCTTCAAAATGAGCATATCTCTAAATTTTTATGGTGCAGTCCTCCAGCCAAAATAATGTGTACAAGACTGCAGATATAAAACAAAATGCATGCATAACATGCAGAAATGCATTGTATAAGGCGAAATGGTTTGCAAGAATGTGTATATTAGGACAGATAGCATACAAAAATGTACATATATTCAGATGAATGCATACTAAAATCCTAATGATTTTTTTGTGATAACTTTTCAAGAAATATTTGCAAACTGATGTGGAAATCTGGAAAATTGAATTTAAGATTGGAAAAGTGAAAAACCAAAATAATGAGCTACCCTCAAATAATTATGTTATTTGTTAAGGCTGCTGGAAGTTGCTACGAGGCCTCTAATCCCCTCCCAGAGCTACAACTCACAGAGGTCTCTGGAAAATTGGATTGATTGTTAAACAACTCCTGGAATTGTAGCTCTGGGGGGAGAATAGGGGGGGGTCTCCTAACAACTCTCAGGAGCCTTACCAAACTACAGCTCCCAGAATTCTTTGGGTATCACAGTGCTTTAAATGTATGTTGTGAATATGGCTATCGTCTATTTTTACAGTTTAATGATAGGCTTATTGATCTTACATAAGCCGCTCTGGGAGCCTTGTCAGCTGAAGAGTGGAGTAAAAAAAAGTCTCAAACAAACAAATGTTCATAATAACACCGGCACTGCCTTTTAAAATTTAAACAGCTTATTGATTCATTTACATAGAAAAGACACACACACAACCAGAAGAAAGCCTTCACAGTAAGAAAAAAAATTCAATAAACCAAATTTCATAACACTGCAATGATTAAGATAAATACTGAGATATAAAAGATAATATTGAATTAGATTAAGGAGGAGAAGCATCTAACGGATTCTTTACAGTGCAATTCATCACACTGAACAAAGGGAAGCTAATAAAGTTCAAAACAATCACTTACCTTGGGCAGATTGTCTTTGTTTCATACATAGTATGTTAATTTAATTATTTTTGTCACACCATACTTTCCTGAGCCATTCATCTATCAGGAAAATCAATGGACCTCACCGGTGTCGAGCAATAATTCATTTTGCGGTAATAATTAAATTCATTAGCAGCACTATACAGCAGTCAGGTCTTCCCAGTTATGGAGCACATTTGCTCAGGTGCAGCATTATCTACAAACACATATATTATGCACATTGCACCCACATCCAAAAGAGAGGTGCAACATTTAAAGGATGGGGTTCCCGCTCTTTACACCCGGAAAATGTTTTTAATTAGGCCATCAATGGTTCAGGAAGGGGTGTTTGTGCATGCCGCTGAGTGCAAGCCACCAACTGCCCATCTGCCATGATGTAAGCCATCTAGTCTTCAGCTGACGCCACCAATGGCTATTCATCACACTCAGTTAGATGGAGGGGTGAGACACCCCCTCCCCAAGGCCCCTTCTATCAGTTTATCTGGAACGAGCTGCTATTTTGGTTCCTTCCCTCTCAGAAATGCCTCTTGGAATAACCATGCCATCTTATTACAGTGGTACCTCAGGTTGCGAACGGGATCCGTTCCGGAGTCCCGTTAGCAACATGAGCAAAACGCAACCCGCAGCTGCACGTGCACGGGTCGTGATTCACCATGTCTGTGCATGCACGTGACATCATTTTGCACGTCTGTGCATACGCGAGCGGCGAAACCTGGAAGTAACCCTTTCTGGTACTTCCGAGTCACCGCAGGACGCAACCTGAAAAAACATATCATGAAGCAAAGGCAACAAAAGGTATGGTTGTATTAGATAACTTGCTCAGAACCTCAATACTGTACCTCAAAGACTGCCTCTGCCCATATGAGCCAACCCAGACCATGCAGTAATCACCTCCTCCACAAAAGGCCTAGAACACAGCAACACGAGAACGGGCCCTTTCTACAGTGGCTCTCCGTTTGAGGAATGCTGTCCCTAGTCAGGCTCACCTGGCACCTTTGTTACATACCTTTAGGTGCCAGGCAAAAATGTTTTCCTATAACCAGGTCTTCAGCTGATTTAACACTCTATGGACTTTTACGTGTGGGTATGGGTATAGGAGTGTTTTTGGTTGGTTTGTTTTTGTTGGTTTGTTGTTATGCATTTTGTCAGTCGGTAGAGCATGAGACTCTGAATCTCTGGGTTGTGGGTTCGTGTCCCATGTTGGGCACAAAGATTCCTGCATTGCAGGGTCCCTCATGGTCCCTTCCAACTCTACAATTTTATGATTCTATGAAAGCCCCCTGTGACCTTCAGATGAAGGATGGTATATCAATTTAACTAACAAACAAACAAACAAACAAATACGATGTTTAAACAATTCTCAAATTAGGGGGAAGGAAGCTTCTCTGTGGCAACCCAGGAGCATGTCTCTGCATGCAGAAGGCAAACTGTAAGGTAAAGGGTAAAGGGACCCTTGACCATTAGGTCCAGTCGTGGCCAACTCTGGGGTTGCGGCGCTCATCTCGCTTTATTGGCCGAGGGAGCCGGCGTACAGCTTCTGGGTCATGTGGCCAGCATGACTAAGCTGCTTCTGGCGAACCAGAGCAGCGCACGGAAACGCCGTTTACCTTCCCGCCGGAGCGGTCCCTATTTATCTGCTTGCACTTTGACGTGCTTTCGAACTGCTAGGTTGGCAGGAGCAGGGACTGAGCAACAGGAGCTCACCCCATTGCGGGGATTCGAACTGCCAACCTTCTGATCGGCTAGTCCTAGGCTCTGTGGTTTAACCCACAGCGCCACCCGCGTCCAAGGCAAACTGTATTTACTAGTAAATAAACAGGGTCGGTAAGGGCTAAAGATCCTGGATAGCTGCAGGGCCATCTGATAGTAGGTATGGCCACATCAGGCCTTCAACACTTTGCACTGATGCAACCCAAAATAGTGTTTTAAGCATGGGGGAAACCTTGAGAAAATACATACAAAGCAGGTTTTTTAAAAAAGAAAAAGAAAAGAGTCATTGGAAATGCTTAGTAAAACAGAAAAGATTCAACAGCAGTGAAAATGGCTCAATTTTCCATTTGAATCATATTGGTGTACAGGGGGCCATATCCTGCGGTGTAGCCACCTACTGCTTTATACATTTCTAAGCCCTATTCCCCGCCTCAAATTGGCCATCAAATTGGCTCCGGCATGCACTTTTATCCTCTTCTGCATTATACCATTTTGACAACCAGTGCAACTTCGCGGGGCTTCGCTCACATCCATTTCTGTTATGCTGCTTGGTGTGGATGTGGGTCTGCATGAAAGAGAACTATCAAGCCCTGTGCTTGCAGAAGAGAGGCATTTCTCTGCTATTCCACCAACACGAATGCTTCTGCCTCATCACTCTTGCTTTGTGTTAACAGCCCAGCATCCTACAGAGCATCTCTCGAATACAGAAATCAAATGTACTCCTGGAAGCTCAGGTCTCTCTCATCTATGAAAAATAGACATAGAAGGGAGGGAAGATGTTCTCACAGAGGGTACAGATCACTGAAAACAAGGTGGCAGAATCCCTGCCCTCAGGCTTAAATTCAGTGTAGAACTGAATTTAAGACTGTAGAAAAGACAAACCAAAGCTGATAGATTTTTCCATCCATACTTGCAAGCTGTGATGGGAATATTCCAAGGAGAGGAGGAGCCAGAAGTTGCTGATTTCTCAGGAGAGCTGATACAGTGACCCTGCTTCCTTTCTTACAGCCTGATGGAATGGCTGCTATCAGAAGGCAGTTGACCTCTGGCAAACTCCTTTTTCCTTCCCCTGAGTCTCCTGGAGATCAACAATACTTTTTAAGGGACTCGAATTAGTATGATGTCTAACTGGAACTTGTGTGTTCAGGAATAGTATGCTGTTGAATGTCAGGTCTCAAGGAAGCAACATAAAGAGAGATCTATTGCCTTCAAGCCTTGCCTGTGGGACATAGGAAGCTGCCTTATATCCACACCCGCACACATTGTGCTTCCTTTGCACTGAACGGTATGGGGCTGAAAAACATAATAACAATATAGATTCAGGTAGGTAGCCGTGTTGGTCTGACACAATAAATAAATAAAATGTCCAGTAGCACGTTAAAGACCAACTAAGTTTGTTCTGGGTATAAGCTTTTGTGTGTGTATCTGAAGAAGTGTGCATGCACACGAAAGCTTACACCCAGAACAAACTTAGTCAGTCTCTAAGGTACTACTGGACAATTTCTTAATTTCTTAATTTATAATAGTTTGTGTAATTAATTACCTAAGTTATGTAACTTCACCAGGCAGGCAGCGAGACTAATAATGTAGGTTTTGGCAAAAGGCAAACTGCAGTAGAAGAGAAACAGTGCTGTGTGTAATGAGCACAGGACAGAATGGAAAGTTATGCCTTCTGACAGATATTACCTGCTCTGGGGAGATGGGAGTGCAGAAATGAGCACTCACACTATATTGTGGGTGCCTTTTGCGGGATCGCGTGTGGTGCTATAGTTCTCAGGGAACTTGCTAGTAGAAGGGGGCTGGCCTGCTTCTCAGTGTATTATTCAGAGGTTCAAGCCGGGCCTCAGCTTTAAGTTTCGTTTCCTGGGAAGTTGGGCCAGACCCATTATAAGTAGGGGGAGGAGCTGGTATTAGCCAGGCAGTCGGCTCTGGAGATTCACCCTCCCTACCCTCCCTTTGTTAATGTTTTTTGTTTACAGGTTAACTTTTTCTTCCTGTTTAGCAGGCGCTGCTATGGTCTTTTACTGGTTGCTGCTGAAGGACTGGGAATAAGTTTTCCTGCATTGGCAGGTTTTGTCTTCCCCGTAGCAATTCGTCACAACTTTGGCAGTTATGGCCTTGTGTGGAATCCTTTAGTCTTTTCTTCCCTATAATGGGGGGGGGGTTGAAGTGGTGACACACACCCCTGCATTGGCGATTCCAAGGTCCCTTCTTAAAGGAGTTTCATAAATGGGTGTCACTGGCCCAACTGAAAGGTTGTCAGTGAACTACCCTGCGTGTGGGGATATGGGCTCTCCTGCCTGCCTACACTTACATCTCGCAGAGTACCCCCATATCCCATTTACCCTGATGTGCCCCAATTCCCTGGCTGGGGGGCTGAGAGGGATACACACCCAAGGCCTAAGACAAGGTCTTCCTACCTTCGGAAGTTTAATGAAGTTGTGGCCTAATTTTAATTCCATAACGTTGTCAGAGTCTTTATTTCCTTTCCCATGTTCCCTGGGGGCTGGGGCTGTCTCTCCTGGTCACACAATGGTAGCAGAATCTTTATGATCCCCTCTTCCTTCCATGTTTGCAGATGACCCTTCTGATGCTCTTGAGATGCAGATTTCCTCCCCTCACCCCACTTCTGTTATGTCTGAAATGGATAAGCTGATTTGTTCTGTGCGAGTAGCCTATGGTAGTCAGTTGCTGAGATAACATCGCTTGGAGACACAGGTTGAGAGAAGAAAAAACACATTTCAGAAACCGAAACGGCAAGGTTACGTTGGTTACTTGTGGTCTAGAGAAAAGAAACCTTCACCTCTGTATGCATGCATCCTTTAAGAATGTGCAGAGGGCATTGAAAGGCTACACTGCCCATATCCCTTTTGGAAAGTGAGGTCTGTGCACACAAGCTTTTCATCTTTGTGTGTCTTAGCAGAGGAGGGTGCCATGATCCACAGGAGAGAAATCCAAGCCTTAAAGGGCAGGTCACCCTTAGCCTGTGACTTATGGTATGCCCATGCAACAGTTCCCTTTCTCTCAGTTTGAACATGAGTTAAAATGAAAGAGTGAGTAGCCTTCCTTTATAAAAACAGTTCATGGACTCAGGGCTAGATGGCTAGAGATGCCTGGTTAACCTCAAAATTGGAGTGCCTGGAAATAACATCAAATCCATGAACCATTTCCTTATTTTAACACAGGGTGTTTGCCAACCTCACTATTCTCTCCTCAGGAGTATTACATCCAAGTAGTTTAGGATCAAGTAACAATAAGGTTCACACTGACAAGCCAGAGGTTTTTTTTAATATCCCATGGCAAAACAGAAACATAATCTTAAGCAGTGGGGGGGGGGAGGTTTATTTGAGGAAAGCAGGTCATAATATGAGGAAGAGAAGAGAGAGAGAGAGAGAGAGAGAGAGAGAGAGTATGTAACATAGCTTAAAATGCTGGTGTAAAACTCTGTTTGAGTTATCACAGGAAACTTCAAATTACTGCAGAGTTGCCACTACTGAAAGTAGGTAGACATTGCTGCACTTGGTCAGATAGTATATCTGAATTCTGCTCTGTTCTGGATAGTCCAAGCTTTTAAACTGATGCCACAAGATTGTAAATAGCAGCTATTTTATAGTGTACTTAATCAGTTACAGACCTCTGTAGCTATTGCACATTTGCTCACAATGAATAGAATGGTTGTTTGACTGTAGGCACAAAATTATACTGAAAGCTTGCAGGGTGGTCCCGCTACATTATGTAAAGTTATCCTCCTGATTGTTCCAATTTAGCCCTTATTGGTTTCTTTATGGCACTTGGATTACATTTGTGCTTCAGCTTCTCCCCTCTCCATTAGTATTCCCCACTTATTAGAAATATTTGAATAAAAGTCATGCCTGATGCTCAAGCCCAGTATTAAGCTTTCATATTGTTTTTTCCATCTCCACCTTACAATTCCTTCCCCATAAATAATGAGACTCATACTATGCAGTGAAATTTTGAAGAGTGGTTTTGCTGAGAGAAGGGATGGGGGTCATCTGAAATGCAAAAACCTTGTGCAGCATAATGCTTCCTAAAAATGGCATGCATGAATGCTGGATAATATTAATATTTGGACTCATGGGTACAGCAGACACACACATAGAGAGTATTAAATCCTTTTTTTATTATTCTGCGTTTTTCACAGAGGCCTGGTGCTGTTTGCTCTTCCTCTTCTTTGAAACGACACCTTGCTATCACCTCTGTCAGCAGCCAGGGGCACACGTACCCACACACCAGCCTGCTTGCTAAGAGATCCCTGGCCTCTGTGAAAACTATTCAAGTCTGCTTCTGAACAGGAATGTGAGGTGGGCGAGAGTGACAACACACTAGCTGAATTTTTGCCTGCCTTACACAGAAGCCTGGACAGAAAAACAAAGAACAGTAGGTCCTGTACATACAGAGGCATATCTAGGCTCCCTTGCACCCTTGGCAAGGAGCTGTATCAGTGCCCCCCCCCCCAATCCTAGGTGCCCAAAGCAT